CAGCTCAAACAACTGTCACTGCTAGGAGGACAGGAATAAAAGATGTAAATGAAAATGCTGCTAATGAACCGAAAGAACCTGTTATCATACTTCACATTTTGGCTACAGAAACTCTTATTTGTCTGTCTTCATATGAAGATTGTTCTGATTTAGTGTAAAGTTGTTCTAGCAAACAATTTAGCAACGTAATACGATTCTGACACTCAAGTGCAATAATTTCTGTATTGATGGCATGGGCTACCGTGGTGTTTGTTTGTTTTGGATACTGCTGAGTCTTACAGAAATGTTATATACTATAAGGATGAAATATCCTACTCAAGTTGTTGTGTCATGTAATACAACTTTCCCATCTTCAGGCTCTTATGGATCAACCCTTCGTTACAAAAATGTGGAGCGAATAAGGCCAGTAGGAAAACATTCTCTTATCGGGGCAAGTGGAGAAATCAGTGATTTCCAGGAGATTTTGCGTTATCTTGATGAGCTAATGTAAGTGTCTATCCTGGTCTGGTTGAAAGGTTTCAGTTAAGAAACAATGAGTTGGAAGCATTTCCATTTTGCCTTTGCCTGTGTTTTTGTCAATCAGGTTTAGCTAGTAATGCAAATAGTAGTAAATCCTTATTATCTCTATTTCTGGCTGCAGACTAAATGATAGCATGTGGGATGATGGAAATTCCTTGGGCCCTAAAGAGGTTCATAATTATTTAACCCGAGTGATGTACAATCGCCGCAATAAGTTTAATCCTCTGTGGAATTCTCTTATTCTTGGAGGAGTAAAAAATGGACAGAAGTACCTTGGAACGGTAATCCCTAAATTGCATACATAAGTTGTTTAGCAATTACCATTTATTCAGTAAATATCTTCTTGAAATACGTGATGGTTCTTCAGGTTAATATGATTGGTGTACATTATGAGGATAATCATGTTGCAACTGGTTTGGTAATCACCTTGCACGACCCATTCTTAGGGAGGAATGGAATGAAAACTTGACCTTTGAAGAAGGTGTCAAGCTATTGGAGAAGTGCATGCGCGTCCTCCTTTATCGTGATAGATCAGCTGTGAACAAACTCCAGGTATGGTTATTTTTGGGATAGTCTGCAATGATGATAGCTTCTTGATTGTGTTTTTAACCCATATTATATGCTAGTGTTTTGTATTATTTCCTTTGATACAATTTTATTCTTTTTACTTGGCATATGTTTATATTCAGGCTGGTTTTTCTTCAAGCATCTTTGACAAAGGTTTTGTTTTTGGGAAAAAATGGGTAATGTCAAATATTGAGAAGCAGGAATCTTATCTGCGAAAGAAGTCATCATTACCCAACTTGCTTGTATGACGTTTGAGATACCTTTTCTGGTGCTTAATTTTCCAAATCCTTCTTTATGTTTCATGTATGAAACAAAAAGAAAATAAAATAGTTCTTACTAACGGCAGTTGGGTATCATTCTCCAATTACTGCTCAAAGAATTATTTTCACGGTCAAGAACAGTTACTTTGCTGGTTTTAATTTTTTTTTAATTATCTTCAATGAGACTTCAGAACATCTGTAACTAGTGTCATTGATTCAAGTCTACATTTCAATATGTTAGTAAAAGAAGAATAGAAAGATTGAAGCAGAGGTGTCTTATAGAAAGAACATCTGTGACTAGCGCGCTTCAAAAAGGGTGCTTGGTTTTATGATTCATTCTTTAATGATGATAACCTCAGTTAATGTTTATAGAACTGAAAGGTGGTTTCAGGTAGAAAGGAGTCCATAATCCCATTGTGGGATTAACCTTGATTGGATTTTGCTTTTATAAGTAAAGAAAAGATACCGGTTCAGCTTCTACTTTATAGGCTTCAGTACTAAGTGAAACAGAGACTAGATAGAAGCACAGTTTTGGTTTTTTTTTTTTAATGCATGTTTTCTTTTTTTTTTTTATGCGGGTTTGTTTAAGGGAGGGTGGAACATGTTGCTATTCTTCTTTAAGGAGCTTTCTGTGAGTTGCTTTTTTTAAACCCTTCTAGAATTGGAAAAACTCTTAAAAGAAAAAGTAGAGGAAGCTGCTTGTCTTTCTGATAGCTTCAGTTTTAAGGTGCAGAATGCATCTGTTCCCTAGTCGTCCTCCGTCCCATTTTTAATTGCAAGTATACTTTTCTGAGATGTGAATGCTTAAATTTGTCACACCTTTTCCTCCGACTAGAGTTATATGTCCACTTTTATTTTTAATATTCATGTTTGATTCCATTTGAATGGATTTAAACCTTTTGTTTTCCCTTATATTTATTTATTTAAACCAGTTTTGGTGCTTCAACTCTTTGACTTGGGGAATTTGCAGATTGCAAAAATCACAGATGAAGGTTTCACAATTTCTCAGCCGTATTCATTGAAGACTCAGTGGAAGTTTAAAGCTTTCGAGAATCCAACAGTCGGTGCTGAGGGCTCATGGTAGTCAGCTCTCTTGGTATGCAAAGGAAATCAGTGTGTTTGGAAATATGCACTTGAAACACGACCTTTTAATGCCATTTTATGCAGTAGACTTGTGGGTTACAGCTCCCAAACACTATTGTTCTTCTAGCGGACTTATTTGCTTGTGTTTGTCACATGATTTAGAGACATTGATAATGCTCTAGACGGTGATGAATTTGGATTGATTTTGTACTTCAGTTTGTGAAATCTTGGTTCAATGAAAATTCATGACTGGGAATGGAACCAATCCTTATGCCTCTGCCAAGTCATGACAAACTTGTCACAATCTGCAATACATTCAAAATAGATTCCTGGAACCTTAATGTATTGCAGTCTAGGATAAACAGATTCAAAATGCCTCTTCTTTATATGCAGATTTTGTCCCACAATCTGCTAAACCTTTCGTCACTGGAGCGGCAATTGCTACCTGTAGTTCTTTACTACTAACTGAAGTAGCAGTTGCTTTCATTACCCAAAAAGGGAAGCCGCCATCTTTTCTTTCCTTTTTTTTTGTGTTTTTTCCTTTGAGCGAGAAGAAATAGCCATCTACTATGTAGGAAGTCTAAATTGTGAAAATTGAGAAAGGTTTTCAAAATAATGATTGCGTTGACTGATGATAGTTGTAAGAATTATGGAAGGAATGTATGAACTTGAAAACTAAAAATAATTCTTCGAATGAACTTGTTGAGCTTTAGCTCGACTCGTCTATTAAACGAGTATAATATAGAACTCGAGCTCGGCGATAGAAACGAGTCGAGTTGAGCCCTTATCGAATCGAGTCGAGCTCGGCTCGCGAGTTATCCAATTCGATTAACAGCTCTAGTTAGCACAAACAAAGTGAATGATGAAATATTACCAAGCGTAACTGCACCTATTATGTACTTTCTCAACTTCACCGGATTTTGGGAACACAATAAGAAAAGAACTTGGATCGGTATAATAATAATACTACCTGTTTTGTTTGCTAGGCTAGTGTGATTTCTTTTTAGTATTACTTTGAAATTCCATGTCACTGTCATATATGATCGACTCTCTTTCATTTTACGGGAGATGCAATTGCAGTTTTCGTGAATCATAACCAATTTTGATTTGAGGTGATTTAACATATACGTTACTAAACGAAAGTGAAGATTAATTGAGAGATTGCTCGTTGAGTTTCACAAATCGTACTTAGTTTTTTTTTTAATGTACATGCACCCTCAAAGAAAAACGACAGATAGAATGCTTACCAGTTGGTTTAAAATTTGTGAAAATTTGAGGTCTCGTCTCAAGAATAACTAATTTTGTTCTATTCTTGTAAGGTATATTTTCGAATCCTGGTTTAAGAAAAGTGAATGAGATTTCAGGACGGAATAAGAAATGGAGGAGACCTCCAACTCAAAGACAAATGGATTATCTGATATTGTATTACGAGTTGAAATCAGAAAATTGAAGGAGTGGATGGAATAAAGTGACGCGCGATTTGCTGATGCACGAGGCGAAAGCAGGTCGAAACTTGGACTCCTGGAATTGGGTTCTTGACATTTTACAAATGGGCTTGGACTTGACAAAAACATGTACTCTTGGGCCTAAGTCTGCAAATATTCGGCGAGTCCAAAAGTCCATGGAAAAATCAAGCTTGTTTATCGACTGAAAATCATTGTTGTTAAACTCGGACTGGATTGGTCGGTTTGACCGATCGAAACGTGATTCGGCTAATGATTCGGTCCGAGTTCTTCTAAAAATCCTTTTGTTTAATACTCGATCAAAAATTGAGTTGAACCGTGAATCGTCAAAACAGGTAAGAATCGGGTTTTTTTTTTTTTTTATTTGGCTTTTGTTGAATTTTCAGGCTTCACGAGTTATCCCAAGCCAAATTTCTAATTTGATACCTTGGATTTCACTTCAGCCCTAAATTTCTAAAATCTCTATCGCTTTGTTTCCACCTTCTTGCTACTGCCGATCTTTGTCGCCATTGCCAACGGCTAATCTGAAATCCCCAAGTAAGTTCCTATTAGAGAGTACAAGCTCTATACACCAATTTCCAATCTCCTCTCCTACGCTTTGTCCAAAGAGTCCAAACCTAACTCCCCTTTATATTCTGAATCAAATCTCGCTGTCTTCTCCGGTTCTATATCCAATTCCCGGCAGAGTTGCAGAAGTTGGGAAGGTCAATGTTTTTAAATTCGGACCGGATCGACCAGTTCGATCGGTTCAATCGCGATCCGGTCATGTGTCCGATCCGGTTCATATGGTTTGTTTGGATTGAGTATTATTTACCCAGTTTTATTTGCTTACATCATCATTAAATTTCCAATACACCTTTTTACCTTTCCAATTATCTTTTTATCTCACATACATCACATCACAAAAAGTGCTACAGTAAAAATATTCCAAATAATTCCAAATAACTTACAATCCAAACAAAACCATAGTTTGTGTTGATTTGGACCAAGAACCGGTCAAACTCATAAAAACCCGTTCCAAGCGTTAAAATCGGATCGAACCGTGAAGCGTGATTTTTCAATTTTTGAGTCAAAATTGACTGAATTTTCAATTTTGACCGAAATTAACCTACTCTTCGGTCTTCGCACTTCGCTTCGGTCTTCCTGGCGGCTGGCTCCTGCTTCCTCTCTCTGCAATTGCCGAAATTGCCTTGCCCAGTTGCCTCATGCCTGCCGTCTCTATTTCCTTCTCCCCTTAATGGCTTAACCCTAATCCCTAATCCCTTCTCCAAACTCCAAACTCCAATCTTGATCCATAGCAATCAGCAAAAAGGAAGCACCGAAGCATGAAGTTTTTCTACTCACCGCTGGAATTGTAAGCCGAAAAAAACTCTGGAATTGAAGCTTATACCAGGTTCGTTTATCTTTTTTCCCTTTTTTTTTTCCTTTCGTTGTTGAGATAACCTTGCATTCTCTTCCAACAAAAGCATCTCCTGGGAGCAGTAGTAGGAATATTACAATGAGAAAAAAAAAAAAGTGAAGCAGTTCCAATTACCTACACCGACAAAAATGCAGTACTATCATCATACCTTTGCTTTTAGCCGCTCTATTTCTTCCTTGAATAGCTGAGTCTGCAATTAGTGAAGCAAATTTTTGTTCAAAAGTCAAGATCATCAACTCTTATCCAACGAAACTGATGAAAGAACTGAAATCTCTCAAACAACAGTTTTATCATGTCCACTTTCAAATGTTTGACAATTTTTTCGGTCAAGTACAAAGAACCAGCACCTAGAACAGCCTATCCAATGCACTTTTTCCTAGAACAGTTTTACTTCCTTGCCCTGACGTTCTTTAGACTTCTCTCGAGCTGGCTGTCAATCTGTTTGAAGTTCCTCTAGTGAACTTGATCGCAGGTCTTGCCCAAAAGCTTTCTAGACACCCCAAAATTCAAGAATAAAATAAAATCCACAATAAGGGGCAAACGATGGATAGAAAAAAATAGTAAATGAAGGATTAAAGGAGCTGGAGTGGTTTATTAATTTATTTCTGGAATGAATTTGGATGTTGAAAGTATAGGAACCCCACAAATATGGAGTCCATGCTGCCGCCTAACTTGCAATAGATCATCATTGCGTGGAATTTCAGTTTTGAAAAATAGATTAGCTCAATTGCATGTGTATTTCAGGGGTTTGGGCCTCAAATGATTTGGTTGAAAGTTTTGATTGCATCATACAGGGATTAAAGGACCTTTTGATTGTTTTCTAGACTTGTATTGGTTTTTGTTAATTCTAATATTTAGACAATTGGACATGTAAGTTGGATAACTATGTTAATGGTGTGTGTGTTAATTGTTGGATATTGCTGTTATGTTAATTGTGGTTTAGCATTTATATCTTATTCTGTGCATAGGTGTGTGTGTCTATATATATATATATATATATATATATATATATATATATATATATATATATATATATAATAATTTATTTATTTATTGAACCGGAGTTGAATCGATCCGACCAGTTGAACCTCGACCATTTCACTTCACCGGTTCAATTGAGGGTCCGGGTTTTAAAACATTGGGGAAGGTTGGTTGAAAAAAAGGGTTGGAGTGATCTTTGTTTTATCAACTAAGTTAATGTTCTGCAACTGGCTAATTTGGTGCAAACTAAAATGTTCACTTTTGAAGATAAATTTGCTTGTGCTACATAAATGCTTCCTTTAAAAGTCAGAATTGCATTATTGGGGTAAATGCTATCTAATTTTGATGTACAGATTCATTGAAGTATAAGAAGAAAGGGAAAAGCGTAAATGACCAGCAACATGAAAGCACTCACTAATTTAATTTCACATGGTCTATTTGTTAAATTTCAGGCAAAACACGTGCAAGAACTTTATTGGGGACTTTTCTTTAATTCTTTTATTTGAATTAATGGATTTCCTTTGTTGCTTTCTATGTGTTTGAGGAAATGTCAAAGTTACTGAAAATTTTGGGATGCACCTCTTTGGTAACTCCATTGTTGCTTCCTGAGATATGCAGAAATCAGGATGGCTACTTTTAGTCTATACTTTTAGTTGGAATTGCAGAAACTAGATAACTACCATTTTTTTTAAAAAAAAATTTTTTGGCACAAGTAATGGACACTAATTATATTTTAGACGTTGAAGTTAAAAGCTACCTCTTATGTTGCTTGAAAGTTGAAATCAGTGTTCTAGATTGATATTTAGCATTCACTTATCAATTTCCTTTTTTTTTTTTTTTGCATTCTTGTTTTTCTTTTTCTCTTTTGGCTTAACTGAGGTAGGATGGAAGTAGACTGCTAACTGCTAAGCCAGCTCAAAGGTTGATTAACCATCTAGAAGACTGTTGATATTCCATGCAACTGAAGATGTCATCAAATAGTGAATCCGCCACCACCACCCGCAGAGGAGATGATCATTGAGCAACCACAGGAGTATCACCAGAAATAGCTCAGTAAAGTTGCTCTACTTGCTCTTTCAATCCATATTGTGTTCTCAAATTCATCTGTGATTATAGATTTTTTTTATGACTTATTCTTGGTTTTTCTTCTTCGTTTCTCTGGTGCATTTGTGGGATCGGTTTTCATTGGGTACCAGCTATTTGATAAAAGTCCCCAACTGAAATTCAGAGAGAGGGATCATTTTCTGGAAAAAAAAAATTTGTTATTGCTTATTTTAGGTGATTTCTAAATTAGAAATGAGAGGGCAATCCGGCAGTCAAAGTTCCATATAAACAACTGTGGCTCCCACATAGGGGGCTCAACACACATCGCTGCTTGATACCACTACACCAGATGCGCTGCTTGTTAGGTGGATCAAATGCCTTACTCTTATTAGATGACAACTGACGCTTCCACAAACCCCCAGTCCACTACTAGCAGGACCTCAGAAGCAGATTACTTTCGGCTTTGCAACATCATGGTTCCCCCCAAACAAAGAATTCATGAACTGTGAGTTGTTATCATTGAAGACGACGGAACACTTTGTAGGACTAATGTAATTATTTAGTACTCGATTAATTTAGTTACGCCAAAAATAGTCACCCGATTATTGTTGAATCAGTAGGCTGGTACTGGGATTCTACTCATAGTAATAAGAAATCAATCGGTCCGAGAATGAGGATAGTGGGGCTGACCGGAGGGATTGGATCAGGGAAGAGTACCGTCTCCAATCTTTTCAAGGCCCATGGTATTCCAGTCGTCGATGCCGACGTCATCGCCCGTGTAAGCCCCACTTTTCCAATTCCTATTAATCGTTCCCGTTCGTTAACCTACTCTCTGTTTCTTCCCTAGTCAATTCTTTTCTTTTTCTTTCCCGATTGAAACAGCCCAAAATCTACAACTACTAGTACCTCAACTGCTATTCTTTAATTTCTTTCACTAATATATATATATATATATATATTAGTCAGTGTTAATGATGTAATTTACTGCATACTGAAATTAAACCTGAGCACCTACTAGTACCTGGTTTCAACTTTCAGTAGCGCTTTTTTAACTTGCAGGATGTTTTGAAAAAAGGTACTGGTGGTTGGAAAAAGGTGGTGGTTGCTTTTGGGGAGGACATCCTGCTTCCTGACGGAGAGGTGGATCGCCCGAAGTTAGGTCGCATTGTATTTTCTGATCCACAAAAACGCCAGATTCTTAATAGGTACGTACTCTTTATTCTTAATAGGTACATACTCTTAACTGGTATCTGATTGATGTATATGGAAGCTTCCAACATCCGGATGTGACTAGTTAGCTTGTGGATAAATGCTGCGCCCCCTTTAGTTTTACATTAAAGCTTTGACTAGGCATCAGCTTCCTTGATGGTAATGTAAAAACTATCTTTGGATTTTTCATTTGTGATTTGCTTAGATAAGGGAAAAAGTTGCATTTAGATATTAGTGAAGTAATTATTGCCATGATACATTGATGTAGAGTGAAAACTCTGATGTTTGGTCAGTAGCCATGAACAAATAGCTTTTTCAAGTTTGGTGATGCTTTGAATATTGTTAGTTTGATGCTCAGTTAAAACTGTTTGACTATGGTTGGACTTTGCCTGTATCTTATCTAAATACGACAACAGAATCACTTTGAGTTGAACTCATGGAAAGTTCCCCCCTGCCCAACTATTTTGGGATATAATGGGTAGGGTTCGCAGGGACCAAGAGTTTATGTGCTTTGCAGCGGAATTTTGGATGATATGTTACTAGTTCATTCGGTTGCTGCCTATTGTTCCTGTAAATGGTCTGCTGTGAAGTTGAGAAGTTTTCATACATATATATATAAATCATGTTTGGATTTTCTAGCTTGTGGCAGTCTAAAGAGCTTGTTAGATTTATTTCCTCTTTCTGATTCATGTGCATCAGTCATTAGAATTGAATGAACTGATTCTTTTGGAAGAACTTTACGTGAACCTTGACTTTGGCAATTTATGCAATTAGATTTCTGGCACCATACATCTCATCAGGCATTCTCTTGGAAGTGTTGAAACTATGGATGAAGGGGTGCAAAATTATTGTGCTTGATGTCCCTTTGTTGTTCGAAGCCAAGATGGACAGGTGGACAAATCCTATTGCTGTTGTTTGGGTTGATCCCGAGACTCAGCTCCATCGGCTCATGGCAAGAGATGGAACCACAGAAGAAGATGCTAAGAGCAGGATTAACTCTCAAATGTCTCTTGATCTCAAAAGGACCAAAGCAGATATTCTAATAGATAACACTGGATCACTGGCAGATCTGAATGAAAATTTTCAGAAGGTATTGGTCCAGGTCACAAGGCCTTTGACATGGACAGAATTTGCTTTATCTAGACAGGGTGCTATTGTTGCATCTATATCCATTTTTCTAGGCATCATCATATGCAGGAAATGTTTGTGATGAAATTTCATTTATTTATTGAGATAAATTTCATTTATTTATTGAGATAAATTTCATAAACTTCTTATTGTTGAGCTCAGCCTTGTGAAATTTGGAAGATGTGACTGATCCTTAATGTACTATATAATTGGAACTTAATCTTCTTGTTCCTCACCTAAAATAATGCAGAATGGTTTAATGGAGCTTCTGTTTCAGTTCAGTAATATTTGATACTTTTCTTAGCCCCATATTACCTGGATTTATGGTGTCACTGGTGATATATGAATTGGTAAAGAAAAGTGAGAGGGCTTCCAAAGACGTCTTACAGTATGCTGCTGTAGCTTACAGGATCATGTATATTTAAATTTTGTCCCCAGCTGTTACTCATTAGGTGGAATCATAGATCGGATTCTAGGTATATTTGATACATGAGACAGAGAGAGGGTAGGGCTGTGTTGAGTGGTAAGGTGGATGGGATTGTAAGTAAAACGTCTTGGATTCAAGACCTCTTACTTGAGGGGGAAAAAAAAGGAATGGATGTGACTTTCACTGAGTAGATTCCGATGACTTTTTTTTTTAATAAAAAAAAGACGGTTGATGGAGTAGATTTATGTGCTTCTTGAACTAAATGCTAATCTTTTCTTTTTTCCTGTATTCGAGTCTATTAAAATTTTTAAAAAATGGATGTGAGTTTCCTCGAGTCGAGGGTTTCTAACAAAATTGAATTTTTGGGTCACATTAAAATTAAGTTGTAAAAGGTTGTTCAGTTTATGTGATCCAAGAAAGATGCTCTTGTGCCTATATTCCCTTCCTTTTTTTCTTTTGGATCATTTGCAGGAATCAGATTCTTTATCTTTTTAAAAAAAAAAGAAGATGTCTTTTCTTGTATGAGCATCGGCGTGACTATTATTTTCATGTGCATGTAGCTCTTTCACGGCGAAGCTGGTCCTTGTCAAGCACATAATTAGGAATCTATACATGTGTGTATGGAATATGGATACGTGCAAGTATGCATAAGGGCCACCAATTTGCTGAAAAAAGGTCATGTTCTTGTCCTGTCTATAAATTTTTGAGGACTTTTTCATCAATCAAGGGGCATCCATTAATCAGTATAAAACTCCAAGGTGTATCAAATCTAAAGCTGCCCTCAAACTCCTCAACTCCAATGTCAATGCTTCCTATTTTAGCTCCAGGGATCCTTGCTGGAACCCTTGACGGCTTCATCTAACATCGATCCTTGCTGGATCCTTGCCAGCTGAATTGTACAACGAGCTCCATTTTAACCTTTTCCCCCCCTTAATTTTTATAAAAAATAATGGAGAATTTCGGTTTCCCTAATAAATCCCCGGAACATGACAATGCACGTTATAGCAACCCATTCATGCTGCTGAGCATGCTGATGCAGTACTCTTGACCCAAGTTATCGATCCTAAAAAGCCAAATGCAGCAATCTTGGCGTCCATTGATTGATCTTTCCGTCTCCTCCTCAAGGCAACTATTCCTAATCCACAACCCCTATAAGCCGCCGCACTAACCCATGAACTCTAAACAGAGCCTAGAAAAAAAAAAAACAAAAATTCTTCTCGTGATTTCTCTGATTATTACAAACAACTAAGTTCGGTCTGCAGGATGAACTAAACCCCAGTATGCGAACGTGGCAATATTTATGAGATTAATAAAGCTCAAGTAATGTGAAACAAGTGATCTGGTTCTGATTTTTCCTGAAATCGATTTTGAACAGTATAGATAGATGCTCTTGAAAACATAGGAAAACGGTAAATTACACTTTTCTTCCGTGTATCAGTGACTGCTTTGATTGACATTTTATTAGGATGAGAAATATTAAGAAGAGGAATTATTGCTCAATCACCCGCTTAGCTCCATCCACGGTATTTTTGAGTAACATTGCCACTGTCATTGGTCCAACACCTCCAGGAACAGGAGTTATCCATCCAGCCACTTTGCTTGCTTCCTTGAAATCAACATCTCCCACAAGCCTATAACCCGACTTCTTAGTTCGATCATCCACAGCATTTGTCCCCACATCGATAACAGCAGCACCAGATTTGATCCAGCTGCCTTGTATCTGAAAATCCAGATTATTAGGTACTTTAGTGAGCAAAATATCTCAGCATGTCCATCATCCTATGACAAGATGTAACCAAGCACGTGATATTCTATCAAGTAGAATTGACAATCCATTTATCCAAGAAATTTGAAGGAAGCTACATAGCCCGAAACTCTGCATTGATTAGAGTCTAATCATCCCGTCATTTGAGTGTTGGTTTTGTAATGTTATATTTGTAGAAGAAACATATGGTGCAAAGTCTCTACATTCAATTACCAGTCACCATCACATACAGGGTTCTAAAGTCAAGAGCATATATAAGGGGTTCTTCTCAGATAAGATGTCAACCCCGAACATGCGTGTTCTTCACTATCAAATTGGATATAGGACAAAGGAAATAGTGAAAAAGATGCTTCGCCACATATCACAACAATAATGATATTATATCACAGGGAAAAAGTTGTATAAAAAATTCTTGATACCATGTTCGCTTGTCCTGCTGCAGCAATAACAATGTCTGCCTCACGGATAATTTTCTCTGGTTCCTTGGTACGTGAATGCACTATAGTGACAGTGGCGTCTTCTTTGAGTAGTAGTAGGGAAACAGGTAATCCAACAATATTGCTTCGTCCTACCACAACTGCCTTCTTGCCCTTTATGCTAATGCCACTACGTGAGAGAAGCTCAAGACAGCCCTGCTCAAGAAATAGAGCCTCTCAAAAATGTCCAAGTAACGATGTAGTTCACCCATATAAGTATGTTGCATATCATGAAAAAAATTATGAAAACTTCTACATCAAACCGTTTAAGTGCTCAAGACCAAAGTATATTGCCTTAGGGGTGCATGGAAGGAATAGAGGCTCTCTGCCTTTCATTGCAAGCTTGCCTATATTTAAAGGGTGAAAGCCATCCACATCTTTTTCCAAGCTAATTTCACCCAAAACTTTCTCTTCATTTACATGCTTTGGAAGTGGAAGCTGCACCAATATACCTGCAACAATAGTGACAATCACAATCTCCAACTTGTCTGTCTGTCTGTCTGTCTGTCTCTCTCTTTATTATTATTGCTTTTTAAAATTTACTTAGCATAGATTTGTGGAAAGCAATAATACACTGACAAGAAATGGCAAATCAAAGTTACGACAAGATGAAACACTAGTATATTGGATCTCTTGGTAACAAAATATTATGAGCTCAATTAGCTTGGTGATGAAACCGAAAGCTGTAAAGGTAACAAGAAGAATAATCTGGTATATAACTAACCAACCATGAACATCTGGATTTGCATTCAGCTCATGGACCTTGCCGATTAATTCGGCTTCAGACACTTGCTCTGGAAGGTTGATGTCAAAGGACTTGATCCCAACCTCAGCACATGCCTTCCTCTTCATACTCACGTAGCTTTGAGAGTCCTTCCTATGTCCCACTATGACCACGGCCAATCCTGGGACCTGTTTATCACCCAAATTCCACACAAAATCAGGCCAATTTATGCCCTTTTTGTTAAGCTCACCTCTATCTACCTATCCAAATAAGATAATCAAAGGACCATATATTAACTTTGTTGGAAAATGTTATCGTTTCAATTTTCAAGCAAGAAAATTTTGCTGAAATTCTTGCTGCCATTTTCTCAAACACTACACAGAAGAAAGAAAGAAAGAAAGAAAGAGCGCCAAGTTCAGACCTTGCCGTACTTCTGGGACAGTTGACGAACTTCATCGGCGACTTCGGACCGTATAGTATGAGCTACTGCTTTGCCGTCGATGACGGTTGCCTTGTGATCCGACGACGATGCCATACTTGCTCCAAATCAAAATTTTCAGACTAGTCTTCTTGCCCACACAAATTTCAGTACTCCTGCTTGAGTTTGAGTGGAGATTCCGTTCACTTTAGGATTTTCAGCTATGTTTTCATACTCGGACCTGACATCGATTCGGCCGAACTCAGGGGTCAGGGTTTAATGGGTTCAACCGGAGTCATTCGGAGGTCGAACCGGATGACGTCATAAATACGTCATAAATGTATATGTGTATATCTATATATATATTATATATATATATATCTTTTTCCTGCAAATCAAATTTATAAAATATAACCAAGAAGCTGTGATCCAAATCCATATCCAATTCACCAAATCGAACATGTTTAATTTGAACATCCTTAATTTGCTTCCAAAGATTGTTAAGCAATTTTGTGGAAGACTTTGTAGTACATACTAAGCTATACTTAGATTGATATGTATTCAGCTGCAATACATAAAGATAACAGAAAACAAACAAGAAAAAGTCAGTTTAATACATTCTCGCTACATTTACATAATTTGATGACATCTTCAGTTGCATGGTCAATCAATAGAGTCTTCTAGATGGTTAATCAACCTTTGAGCTGGCTTAGCAGTTAGCAGTCTACTTCCATCCTACCTCAGTTAAGCCAAAAGAGAAAAAGAAAAACAAGAATGCAAAAAAAAAAAAAAAGGAAATTGATAAGTGAATGCTAAATATCAATCTAGAACACTGATTTCAACTTTCAAGCAACATAAGAGGTAGCTTTTAACTTCAACGTCTAAAATATAATTAGTGTCCATTACTTGTGCCAAAAAATTTTTTTTTTAAAAAAAATGGTAGTTATCTAGTTTCTGCAATTCCAACTAAAAGTATAGACTAAAAGTAGCCATCCTGATTTCTGCATATCTCAGGAAGCAACAATGGAGTTACCAAAAGAGGTGCATCCCAAAATTTTCAGTAACTTTGACATTTCCTCAAACACATAGAAAGCAACAAAGGAAATCCATTAATTCAAATAAAAGAATTAAAGAAAAAGTCCCCAATAAAGTTCTTGCACGTGTTTTGCCTGAAATTTAACAAATAGACCATGTGAAATTAAATTAGTGAGTGCTTTCATGTTGCTGGTCATTTACGCTTTTCCCTTTCTTCTTATACTTCAATGAATCTGTACATCAAAATTAGATAGCATTTACCCCAATAATGCAATTCTGACTTTTAAAGGATGCATTTATGTAGCTCAAGCAAATTTATCTTCAAAAAGTGAACATTTTAGTTTGCACCAAATTAGCCAGTTGCAGAACATTAACTTACTTGATTAAACAAAGATCACTCCAACCCTTTTTTTCAACCAA